CACAGCTCTCAGGGGCTGAATCTAGGCTGAGCTGGTCCTTTGTTTTGACTTAATCCTTCTCATCCTTGCGTTTTCTGGAGTGCAACTATATCCAAATTTCAATTTCTGCTGCAAACTGCATCTCTTCCTGCCTTGCATTTAGTCTAACCAACTCAGTGGTGGTATTTAGGTTTCCAATCAGTGCCGGTTCTACACATACTCTCTCCGCTTTACCTGGATTCTGTACCTGAAAGCGACACACCTGCTCGTTTAACACACACTAATCAAGTTGAGCAGAGTGTTTTCTTATTTTGGTGGTAACAGGGCAAGTAGCTGATCATTCAAACAAAGAAGGGTGATTTGGGGTAGGGGAACAGTGCCTGGAAAAGGGGGCACATTTCTTATGCTCCCCTGACAGGCAGTCAGTTCCACAAAACTGATATAAGTGACATTTCTATTTCAAAGTTAATGAAATTAACTTTTTCTCCCATTTGTATTTCAGGGGTCTTCAGATTATTGGGACAAATCCTAGGAGTGGATAATGTACCTTGTAACGTTGTTAAAATATAGTGATATGACTTCAAAACAGAACACGTGCCTCTCTGGCGTGCAATATCTTTATTAAAGACTTCCGTTACCTTGTGAGACTTTTTCTGTCAAGGGTAATAGCACCATTTGAAAGACCAAGGACAGACTCTACAATCTCAGATACAAGCAAAGCCTCGGAATGTTTCAGATCTCAACCACCTACTGCCTTCTTTTTGTATGTACAGAGAGATGAACAGGTAAAACTACATGAAGCTCACTTAATCTTTTTTATGGTGATTAGAAGAAAGTCAGCCTTTTTTTTCTTTTTCACCTTGAAAGGCCTTTAATGGAGAGGCACCAAGCACAAGCCCCACCCAGCCCCTAGGGCAGGTCCTAACACTCAGGATAGAAATGGCAAAAGCAGAGGTCTCTAAGCACAGTTCTGCACAGGCTGTGTCTCTTCAGTGCAGAGTTCTGCTCAGCACACCTGGATCATTATAGACGTCACCACCTTGTCAAAGGCCCTGGACTGGATGCGGTCTCCAGGGTTGTAGAAAGGGTTGCACACCATGTCTGTGCAGAAGCTATGCAGCTTCCGAATCATGCTGCAGATTTCATTGTCTCAAAGGGCTGTGTTGGAGGAATCTACCACCATGACAAACTTCACCTTGGAGTTGGTCACATAGCCATATGCCTTATAGTCCTCTATTGGGTAGAGCAGGCCCAGGTAGGGCTCCCTCTGCTTCACCAGGGCCTTCCCCCTGGTGGAGATCGTCTTATCTGCCACATCCATGGAGGTGTGCACCATGTAGTGGAATTCAGCTCATTCTCTATGGGGGTGCTGTGGATGTACAGAGGGTAATCCTCCTTGGCAATCACTGCGATACACACCACCAGCATAAGTGCAAAATAAGCGTCATGTATTCATACTTCTTTGAGGTCACACCTCTATCTCAGATACAGTTGTTCTTTCACAGAAAAAAATCTACCTAAAAAGATGATCACAGCAGTTTTCAAGATGGCGGATGAGAGGAGGTCACTTTCCTGGCTGATCCAGGGAGTGAGGACAAGAAAGCTGACAGGCAGCTTCTAAGCAGGTGGGTGAACAACAACAACAAATGGGTGGGGAGATTTACTGGAATTTAAAACTGGACATGAGCAGATGAGGGACTCAGAAGGTTGGATGTAATAAAATAAAGGAGAAATCCCCAGCGGTACAGCTGCTGTCTTAGCCAGGCTAGAAAGGAGTGGTCCCTCCATGAGAACAGTGGACGGATCAGGGAAGGAAAGGAACCTGAATGTTTGGGAGGCCTGAGGCTCATCTGGGTATGGAGAGAACAAGGACATGGCCCGACTAAACTGAAAGGTGTCCTGTGATGGAAAGAAGCTGCCATCTCTCCAGGTGGCGTGCGGAGGACAGAGGAAGGAATCATTTTGCAGCCACAGTACAGGCCAGCTGCGCGAGCTGATTCCAAGTTTGGCCTCAAATACAGACCTGGCCAACCCCGACTTGAGCCCAAGTGGCCAGGGGGAAATCAAACATGGAAAGAGGTTTACACAGGGGACAACTGGTTGTGGAAACCCCCAGGATCTCCCACTCCCCCTCCAATCTGGCTGCTTGCAGGACAAATGAATAACCCAATCAATAAATGGGGTAAGGAACAGAACAAACACTTCACAAAAGAAGAAATAGGAATCGTCCACAAATATATGGAAAAATGTTCAACATCGCCACAGTCCGGCTGGCTGGGCAAAATAACCGGGGGGGGTGGGGTGACGAACAACTTGTGTACATTGATACAGCAGGAGTGGGAGCCGTTTATTGTAGGACCGGAGCGATATTTATACATTGCACACAGCTTATCTTAATTAGCATAAACTAGATACAGCAGTCAACCAATAAGGAATCTCCACACTTAATGGCTCGCTGGCGTTACTTCACAAACCACTCCCCCTGGCAAAATGCCAGGCGCCATCCTGACTTGTTTACAGACTCTAACATTTGTCAGGCACCATCCTGACTTGTTTACAGACTCTAACACAACATCACTAGCAAGTAGAGAAACGCAAATTAAAACTACACTGAGATTTCATCTCACTTCAGTCAGACGGCAGTTATAAAGAATATACGTAACAATAAATGTTGGCGAAGATGTGGGAAAAAAATTACACTCCTACATTGTTGGTGGGACTGCAAATTGGTACAACCACTCGGAAAAGCAGTATAGAGATTCCTCAGAAAACTTGGAATGGAACATCCTTGACCCAGTTATTCCACTCCTTGGCATGTACCCAAAGGACTTAAAATCAACATACTATAGTGACACAGCCATCAATGTTCATAGCATCTCAATTCACAGTAGCTATAACAGAACCAATGAAGGTGTCCTTCAATAGATAAATGGATAAAGAAAATGTGGTATGTATACACACTGAAATATTACTCAGCTATAAAAAAAGAATGAAATTTTGGCATTTGCCTGTAAGTGGATGGAATTGGAGGCTATCATGCTAAGTAAAATAAGCTGATCCCCCAAATCCAAAGGTTGAATATTCTCTCTGATATGTGGATGCTGACCCACAGTAGGCTGCGGGGAGGGAGGAGTGGGAGGTTCACCTGACTGAAGGGGAGAAATGGGGGCAAGTATGGAGGGATGGGAATGGGAAAGACAGTAGAATGAACTGGACATAACTTTGCTGAGTTCATATATGAACACACAAACAATGTAACTCTACATCATATACAACCACAAGGATGAGAAGTTACACTCCATGTATGTGTGATATGTTGAAATACATGCTACTGTCATGTATAAAAGGACGACAACAACAGAAATACATGATTACTATATGAACAACCCAAGGTAGGCTTTGTATATTTTGGCTGTGATCCAGGATTGAAATGGCAGGAAGCAGACTGACGATTGTAATGTCCTCATTAGAAATCAGTTTGGTAATATTTTATGAAACTAAATTACTTTCCCAAACCCTTTTATACCTGAGGTCATGATTATAGGATAATTCTGGTAGAGTGACTACTGGGTGAGTTCCATGGATATGCTGGACAAAGGGTTGATTCACGTCCCAGGCAGGACAGAGAGAAGACCAGGATTTGATTTATGCTACTTGGAACACCATTCACACGCAGTTTAGTGTATGAATTGTTCAGTTCTGGGATTTTCTACTTACCAGACTGTAGCTGACCCGCCTGAAATGAGGGAAAGCAAAACTGGATAAATGGGAGCTGCTGTGTTGAGTTTGGGACTGAATATTATTTTCAGTTTAGTGAATGAGTTTTGAGATTTCTAACGAAGTGTGTTTGAAATAAAATCTTGCGTCAGTGTTCTTTATTCCCAATGTCTGACTGCCAACACAGTCTCCACTGTTAGTTCCAAATGGCAGATATGTTCAGATAACTTACAGCAGAATTCCAACAAAAAAATTAGACTCTTTAAAAAATTTAGATGCACTTTATTTAGCACAAGCTCTGCCTTTTAAAAATTAAGTGTTTCTGGGATGGGGGTATAGCTCGGTGGTAGATCTCACGTTTAGCCTGTATGAAGCTATGGGTTCAAATTTCCAGCACCAAAAAATTAAAAAAAAAAAAATACAAATTAGGTGTTTAATTCCCCCAAGTTTATATGTATATATATTTATATATATAAATACTGCTAGAACCCCCTGGAAATTCCCTGTACAGTTTCTATCATAGATATCACACTGATGCAGCATTACCACATCTATCTGAGGTCATGGTGGGGAGGAGGCTCCCTGCCTCTCCCAGGCCACTGAGAATTGATGTGACTATCTTCCCCTGGACATACAGGGGTATACAGAGCTATTCCTGAGGTAGAGTTTCAACACAAAATCTCAGCAGAGCACAAAATAAAAAATAATCATGAAAAAAATTAAATTGGCAAAATTATCAAATCAGAGCTTGTGAATAATACTGTTTTCAAAGTCCAAGAGCAGCCCTTAGAAATGGGACCAGATCTTGTTATTCTATCAGAGAACTGCAGAATTGAAACAGAGATATACTCACGGGAAGAGGAAGAAAAATGGCTCACCAGCCAAGACAATGTCCCGGGTGTTGACTATTTAGATCCGATGAGCACCTAAGCCAAGCAACAGCGTCAGCACAGTTAGTATGTCTGTTCAATAACAGGGACATCACCTCCAAGATCATGGTTTGTTTCCATGCCGTTTGCATGTTCTTACAAGTGACTGGAACTAGAATTTCCAGTTACTGCTATTCAAGGGGGTCCCCAACATGGGCTGTTCGTCTGTGATGAGTCCTGCTGACTACACACAGCTCAGCCGGGCTCACAGACATCTGCTTCAAAGCCGAGCTTTTGTTGTGGTTTTGAAAAGGCTCCCTGGAGCCCGTAGTTGCAGACCGTGTCGATGTGTGGCCACCCGTCTCAAGCTCTCCTTCTCAAAAGCCTGCCTTTCCATTCACTGATTTGAAAACCACCACAGTTGATGTAATAAGGTCAGAGCTTTGTCGCCATGCCCATGTTCCTGGGTTCCTCTGGTTGTGGCTGAGCTGGGCTCTGTACTTCCTTTCGGCATTTGGCAGAGTAGAGAATGTATATGCTTCTCATCAGGAAAATGCCAGCGATGACTGCAAAATAACTCCCGTAAACTAAAAACTGGAGAAAAACGAATAATTAGCCACATATAAAATCTGACCACCTATGTCATTGACCTCGTGGAATGATGCTGTCAGTTTGCTTGGATGATGGGGTAACTGAGACTCAGGATCTGAGGATGGGTCATGTTGATTAGACAATCTGCTCTTCTATCTTAGAAGAATCAAGTGTGAAAATATAAGCAATTCAGGGATAGGGAGTCGCTGGTTTGGAGGCAGATTGTCTAAACTCTAATCCCAGTTGCTGTTATCAATAGTGAAAGCACATTAGATCCTACCGATTTATCTGGGTGTCCATGTTTGGAGGCTGGAATAGTGCTTTGTGCTATGTCTCAAACTCTTGGCTTGTGCCACCAGGCCTGACTTATGTGCAGTGTCTGTAAGGAAGAATTTAAGACCCCAAGGCTACTTCTTACCTCCCTTACCCAGGTAAATATTGACCTTCATGGTGTTATAATATAATTAAGGAATCGTGTGTTTTTAAGTTTGCCTAGCCAAGGAATTTAAGAAATCAAAATATTGTTAGCTGTTGAAGAACTTTGGAGGTAACCAATGTAGTTATTCTACATTCCCAGCAACTACGTGAGAAGGAAAACAGAAGTCCTGGAGCTTACCTGCGTGGTGACTGGCAGGTTGAGCCCTCTCTGATCCACCACAATCACAGTCATGACAGTCTGAATCACCAAGGCAATAAAGGTGTTCATTCCGAACACCAGGGCATAGCGCTCCACGCTTAGGTTCACCGCGATCTGAAATCTACCATGAGATGTCAGACAAGTATTTTAACCACAAGATACAGGAGAGTCTTACCTTCAAAAGCTAGCAACTGGAGAGAACACAGTGTTGTTAATTGTACTTCTTGTCTAAATCCCTCAGTATACACGGACAGGCAGAGCAAAGGAATTAATATCATTAAAGGCTGAATTAAGGATAACATGGGAAAAGTCCTCCTATCCAACTTAGTGCGTGCCAGAAATTAAGCCTGAGTGTTCTAGATTCTCATAACATAAGAATATTGGCTGTCATCTGATCTTAGATACTGTTTCCCAGTGATTTTTTTTTTTTTTAGTATTATCTGTTTACTGCCAATTGCTGGCATTGACAAAGTTTGGTGTATGAATTATTCTTTGGAAGATCTAGACCTTGAGTGCTTGTACAATTGAGTAAATCTGAATTTAATTTGTAATTATATAGATTTTTAAACTCTTAATACATTCTTTGAAATACAGGTGAAAGGCTTTGGTCTTTGAATTTTTTTTTAATGTAAAGAAAAAACATAGTCCTATCTTAAAATGTTTACCTTAAAAAACAACAACAATAAAAACCTCCAGACAAGAGTTTGACCCATTAAGCCAGGGCAACACAGGGGAAAAATAAACTTGCCAACTTGTTTCTTCTCCTTCCTTTGTCCCATGATGCTTTTCCTGCAGCTCTAACTCAATGTCTTGTCAATTGTTTATCAAAAACTTTTCACAAGTTAAAAGCAAATCAACCTGATAAAGCTGCCTCAACTTTTTTCATGCACCTTGAAATTCAAGTGTTTCTCATCTCTTTAGTTACTACTAAAGCACATTTCCTGTATCCAGCTTTAACTATACTTATATGAACCATATCATTCTTTAGTAATTTTCTAAAACATCTCTCTGAAAAAAAAATGCAAAGATTATTGGAAATTCTATATCCCAGAGATGTTCTTTGAGAAATAATTAAACACCATTTGGTTCCATGTATCAGGGCAACCACATGTTTCTTTTAATATTTTTATATACTTTATTTCAGTATTCAATTTTTTATAACTTTCCCGAGAATATTTGGTTCACAGAAAAGTATGTGCTTGGAATTACTAAAGCAGCTAAATGAGATTAGGGATGAAATCTAAACTTAAGCATTTAAAATTAAATCACATTACACCTTGTTATGGAAAATTGTTGGAAATAAAAAATAAAACCCTGATGATGTACCATTGCTTCTGTTTTATCACAAAGAATTGCTGGAGATTAAAAAAAAAATCACTGAAACCAGACAATGTATCATTGCTTTTGATTTAGAAGGTAGCAGAACTTTTTCCCTGAATGACTAATCTGAGCAACATTCAGATAACAAATGGTTAAACGGAAAGATGACTTGGTTGCATTGGGTTTAAAATTAAGTAGTTTTAATATTGCAATTAAATTTAATATTGCAAGTAAATATTGCAATCATTAAATGTCACAATTGATTGCAATATTGTGTTTTAATATTGCAATTACATTCAACATTACAGTTGATTAAAATCCTTCTGAAGTTCTCAGAGGAACTTCAGGAATAGAAGAGTGGAAAAAAATGCTTGGTAATACTCACACTGCTATGGTTATGAGAAGCATATAGCTGGACTTGAACACCAAATAGCCAGTGTAGCACACCCAGATGCTGAGTGTGTAATGCATGAGGAGCAGAGACCCTGCACTGAACGTGGAGAAGATGGCCAGAGCCATCTCCCCCAGGAGATCCCAGTTGATTTTCACATAACCCACTGCGAAGGCAGCCAGGGCCCCTGAAAACAAAGCACGGGGAAGATCAACATACTGACTTTGCACACAGAAACCATCAACACACCTCAAACACTCAGCTCTTGAGCAATTCTGAAAGATGAATACATTGCTTTCACCAAAATTATGTGATCTATCTGAATGAAGATCTATCCTTATTCATCCAGGTTTTCTTCTCTTTTCACTTCCTATTTTCTCAGTTACTTTGTCATACACTTTAAATTAGTATCTATAACATACCAGGTATTAGACTAGGCAGAGGGTCCAAAAAGGTTCCTACTCACAGCAGGAAGGTTGGATAATTGACAAGAGATTGGATAATTGATGGTAATTAGGGTTAGTAATTGTGGTTCTCCTTAACAAAGTGAAAGGCATTTAAGTTTCAAAAGACTGAAAATTGATGAATTAATTTTCCCATATGTTATCTAAGAATGGGCCATATCTACAAAGGAGTATTTCCCCCAAGAATTTGGAAGGTAGGAGCAATCATTCCAATGAGCCAATTTGGGCACAGTTTTGGTTTTCAGGAGTGACACTGAAGCCCCCCCAAAGATAGACAATAACAAAACAAAGACCACATGAGTTTTCTGAAACTTTTTGAATGAGGGTGTGGAAAGACCTCACTTCCTAAAAAATATCTTCAAAGCCTCATTTGACATTTAAGTTTCCATTTACACGGCTGTAAATATTTATTGTAGAAAAAACTTCAAAGGCAGATTTCTCTCTGATATTAGAGTCTTGACTCTCACACCTCTTCCACGTCTTATTATTTTTTTTTAAAAAAACAACATAAAACTACTTTTAAAAATTGGTGGTGTATAGGATTGCTGGGATGAGTACTAGTTAGATCATTGACAAGACTCTTTCAGTGAGATTTTTGGAAGCCTTAATGTATTTTCTAAAATAATTAATAAAAACTCATTACTTAGGCAAATCTTTTTCCTTTTGATATTAAAAACAATTCTGAAAGAACAGGGAATACTACGTCACTTGTCCAAATGATGAAATGGAGCCTGAGGAATTCAATAACAATTTATTTGGTTCTAAGGTTTGAGATCTCGAATTACTTTTACCTATACCCAAACATTAAGTAAAAGGTTATGATACTCCCATTTTTCCAGAATATTCCAATCTTGAAAAAAAAATTAGCATGCTTCTGAACAGAGCTAATTATTTACCACTCTGGAAATGTTTAGTACTAGGAGAAATGAATTTAAAATGTAGCCCATCAAAGGAAGATAAAGTGATGTTTACCTACCTCCAAATGTTGCAATAGCTTCTACTGCTCCATTATAGATGGAGGAATCTTGGGATGGGGCCTTGTCATCCCACAGGATCTGCACATAGTTCAAAACCTGGTTAAAACCCGCTGTGGAAAGAGCCCACCACAGGGACCAGTAGAAAAGACGCTTGGAGGAGTAGCACTCCCGCAGATCCTGGAACCACTGCACGCAGCTCCTCAAAGCCTCATGTCTGGGCTTGGGGCTGCTGGGCTGGCTCTCCTCCCCATGCCTGGAAAGGGTGCCTGCTTCTTGGTGGGCTGCTTCATCACCTCTATTGGCTTCCTCTAGGACAGCAGTCTGTCCTGGTGTCTTCTGAGAAGCTTGTTTGCTGGGTTTTGCGTGGAAAAACATGCTCTTCTTGGGCATTGGCAGAAAGAGTGAGAAGAAGAAAGCCACGGAGACAGAGGCCAAGGTGGTGACGTTGAGGTGGAAGTAGGACACGTTTGCCAGGGAAACCAGGAGCTGGGCCAGCACCGAGGCCGCTGTGTAGGCCACCAGCGTGACACTCCGACAGTAGCCGCTCACCTTCTGGTAGTGCTCTGGGCTGACCACACTGTAGATGTAGGCATAGTAGGCCACCTCGGTGGCCGAGACCAGACCATAGACAAATTCAACAAGCTGCATGATCTTCACTCCTTGGCCAAACAGGAGCAGCAGCCAGGTGACGATGAAGCTTATCCCCTGTAAGACGATGACCGGCTTGTAGCGGACGTAATCAGTGAGGACAAACACGGGGAGCAGCAGCACCAGGTAAGAGTAGGTCCAAACAGGAAGGATCTCGTTGGTGATCTGCAAAGTGAGACACAGCATGACCACGAGCCCGGCCATCTCTAGGGGACCTGCAGTGAGTATCTCACTTTCCGTAGCTCACCAGATATTTTTGTGGAATCACATGATTGAAAACAGATTTTTAAGGTAACCTCTAAAAGATATTCCCCTTTCCCATGGGGGTCCAAAAACAACCAGAACCTTTCCCTCCACCAAAGAAAGGTGGGGGAATCCTATCTAACTTACATACTTACACTATCCCAGTAGAATATATTGGGAGAGTGGGTAATCAGAATTTTATTTTATAGTAAATTTAAGTTTTAATAATATGTACAGTTAAGTGTATTAGTTAAAAAGCTACCCCCGCCCCTTTGGTTTTCCAAGTCTTAAAAAAAAAAATTCTTTTTTTTTTAGTATTAGGGATTAAACCCAGATGCACACTACTTTTGAGGTCCCTCTAAATTCAGAAGGTTGGCCTTGAACTTGTGATCCTCTTGTCTACGTGTCACGACTCACTGGGATTACAGGTGTGACCACCATCCCTGGCTCTTTTGTTGTCTGCACTGCTTGGAGTACTGAAACCGTTATCCCAAGTGATTTTACAGAACAGGCTTGCCTTTCAGCCCTGCCACCTCACCACCAATAAACCCGCACCAATCAGCCCTCTAGGTGGAGCCACCCATAACGTTTTCATGGCTGTGGCTGGAGGTGGAAAAACCAGCCCAGGATACTTTTCTAGCCGGTGGGGACATTTTCTGGTTGCATTCATTATAAAGAAAAAGAATCTTTTTGGGGAGAGGGTACTGGGAATGGAACTCAGGGGAGCTTAACCACTGAGCTACATCCCCAGCTCTTTTTATTTTAAGACAGGATCCTGCTAAATTACTTAGGATCTCACTAAGTTGCTGAAGCTGGCTTTGAACTTGCCATCTTCCTGCTTCAGCCTTCCAGGTTGCTGGGTTATGGGCATGTGCCACCCAAGTCCAGTGAGACAGATCTTTTAAGTAAGAGAATTTGGCTTTCTAGGGAAGGAGGGAGTGCTGGGAGACAAAGCTGTTAATGTCTCACCTGCTGCTAAATAATTTTTTAAAAATTGTTTTTGGTTGTACATGGACTCAATACCTTTATTTTATTTATTTTTATGTGGTGCTGAGGAGAGAACCCAAAACCTCATACAAGTTAGGCAAGAGTTCTATCACTGAGCCACAACTGCAATACCTACTAAATAGTTTTAAAACTGAATAACAACCTAAAGAAATATGAAATGTGTCACTTAACAATGAGGACATATTCTGAAAAATGCGTCACTGAGCACTTTTCATTGAGAAATTTTCTTTGTGTACTTACACAACCCCAGATGGCATAGATTACTACATGCTTAGTATGATGTATATATGGTATAGCCTATTGCTCCCAGGCCATGATGAACAAAACACCAGGAGATTAAATTACATTCAAGAGAAAAAGATGTGGTCAAGAGATGGTGGCAAACAGGAGATACGTAAACACACACAAGCAATAGAGATGTATGAGGCTGCTGCTGGTGGTCCCGGGCATGCTATTCCATACTTGTCTTGTTACAAGTAGGACTATATTCTAAAACAGTGATTAAAAACCACAAAGTGGTAAATGCATAAACCAGGAAGTCATTTATTATTATTAAGAAGTATTAGGGCTGGGGCTGTAGCTCAATGGTAGAGTGCTTGCCTTGCACCACATAAAAATAAACAAAGATTTTTAAAAAAGAATTATTATTATAGCCAGGCATCACATACATGCCTGTGATCTCACAAGTTTGAAGCTAGCCTGAGCAACTTAGTGAGAGTCTCACTCACAATAAATAATAAAAAAAGGGCTGGGGGGTGTGCTGTGGCTGTGGCTCAGTGGTGGAGCGCTTGCCTAGCACATGTGAGGCACTGGGTTTGAGACTTAGCACCGCATACAGAAATAAACAAATTAAATAAAGGCATGATGTCCATCTACAACTACAAAAATAAATAAATAAATTTAAGAAAAAGGGCTGGGGATATAGGTAAGCGGAAGTGCACCTTGGGTTTAATCCACAGCAAAAAGAAAGGAAGGAAGGAAGGAAGGAAGGAAGGAAGGAAGGAAGGAAGGAAG